TTGTTGGCTCAGCACCACAGCCTCACGCCACATGCACAGAGCGCTATCCTCGTAAGCTGGGCTAATTACTTCACAGGTGCCTGCCCCCTGTTGGGTGCTGTATGTCACCCTGTTTGTCTGCTCTTGTTGACAAAGCTTTGTTTACTATAAAAACGCCTCTTTGTGCTGAGAGTTTCTGTCATGGTGCAACTATAGCAGTACGGTGATCCTTGTCAGCTTGACTATTAGCTATCAGTAAAGTGTGCCACAAATATGCTTCTTGGGTGCTATTAAAACTTTTTATAGCACTTGAAGTCAGTTTATCTGATAACAGTCGTGTAAACAAACTGTAAACAAACAGTAGATAAATACTTTTTTCAGAAATACTCTCTCTGTATCTTCTTATTTGCACCAGATTATAGAATCTAAAACAGCTCCACATCCTGAGATCCTTGTTGCAAAATCCTCCCTCTTTTTCAACATAATGTCAGCTGCATTTAACCAGCTGCAGAAGCAACAAAAATAAAAACATGGGAGCACTGAGCTGACTTGGAACAGACACTTCTCAGTGTCTGTGTGGTTCAGGTATAGGCTGCGGTGTTGCTACATAAATACATCAAGGTTATCAAAAGGTTTAAGTGCCTGTGTTCCTGTATGTGCAGCTTTGTGTAGCTAACATCACGATCCGTAGCCAGCAATAGCTCTCAGTGCAGTCTTAATGTGCCAGCCGGTGTGGTTAGCCTCTGAGTAGCTGGCTGGAACAGTGATTACACCACCTCCTTCTTTCTCTCCATCTCTGTCTCTCTCTGTGCACTTGTAGCCCCTCAGTTTGAGGATAAGTGGCTGTAATTAGTTTTTTTTTTTTGTTATGTTGTTGTTGTTGTTGTTTTCTGCCTCGTTTTAGCCTTGCAGCCAGCCATTGATCACGAGTCCGGAGGTGATCAGCCATGTTAACAGAACCTAACTTCATAGACATTGAGGATTTAAAATGACTATTTATATATATATATATATATATATATATGGGCACCTCAGGCATAGCTTGCACAGTACTTCTGCAACATGTGGCACACAATTACATTTGCACATTATGTTGCATGAAACACACAACACCACAATCCAGAAGTGTTTTTGTTTGGATATATTTTAGACATTTTAGTTGGGCTTTGCTGTATTTTTTATTTCTTCGTCGTGCTTGTTTGATGACTTGTTGGGAGTGAAACACAACTGCTGCGAGGTAAATAGAGTGGTGCCATGGTGGCACAGTGTTGGCACTCAGTTTGGCTTTAGGTTATGGTTGCATACTTTTACCACAGATGTAATTGTGCACACTGGTTTTAATGGTTTCAGTTCACACAGGCATCTACTTCATCTTGGGTGTCTTCTAAATTATGATATTGCATCAACTTCTTCGCAAATGTTGTGTTTGATGTATTTTATGAGCTAGCTTAGCAATGTCTGAAAATGTAGTTTCTTTCATTTGTTGTCAATCACAAAGTTACAGTCTTTCAGGCTTTGATGTGCCATTTCTGGTTATTTTCCCAGAGGAATGTTTGGATTCTGTTGTTGCAAAGTGAACGTATGGAAGCAGAAAATACGCTTTTCCTTTGTGTAGTTTTTTTTTAGGTTCATGAAAACAAATGACCTTTATAAATCTCTGTGGCATGCCAACTTGGGAAGACACATGGGGCTTGTGTGCACGAAGAGCATGGTGGTTGAGAGCAACTGCCAAAACCCTATTTAGTGGAAATTGGGATGGCGTTTGTGTCCAACACTCACCTCGGTCCATATGGGAAACTATACAGCAGAGCAGGCGCTAATTGAAGCGATGGTGCACGCATGATTGTCTCTGTGGGTCTAAAATAGCCTGCGCCTGAAAGGGCCTCCCGTATACAAAGTCGCGCTCCGTATGAAATGGACTGACACGGCTGGTGAGTAAACAAAAGGTTTTGTTTGTTTGACCTTGCTGTTTACTGCTTGCTTGATATGTGTGTGTAAACAGTCGACAGGCATGTTTGTGTCAATGCATGCGTGCACGGTGGATGCAAGAGGTGGTGGGCTGGAAGTTTACTCCGGTTCACAGGGAACGGGCTTTGTGTGGACGACGCAGGTGATTGGCGCCGAGAAAATAAATGTCGATCAGAGCCATCTTCTAATGAGGCTCACTTGTTTGTCTTCCTAATCGTGAAACTACCTTCTTTGCAATTGTTTGATCAATTTTAATCAGCCAGTACATTCATCTCTGGTGTCAAAATCTGAGTTTCTTTATTTTTTTGGTGATTACAAAGCTACCATAATATGTTTCAGGCAAACTTTGTTGTTACAGTTTATGTTGTTTACTTATAAGCATCCAGATAATTGAGATAACTATAAAAATTGGTAGAAATAATAATTAGACCATCTGTTGTTTCCTTAAAAAGTCCACAAAACAGGCCTTCAGCAGTGATGCTTTTGTTTGCATTTTAATATAGTGGTTGAATAAAAAAGAAGAACTTGCAATAATTAACTACATGCAATAAATTGTGTTTAAAAATGCGACGTTTTGGAAATCTTTGTGAAGTCTTTGTGACGTGCCGATTGATGAGGACGGGGATGTGAAGACTGTGGTGTTGAGAGCAAGCGTTTAAACCCTGTTTAGAGGAAACTGGGATGGTGTTTGTATCCAACACTCACCTCAGTCCATATGGGAAAATATACGGCAGAGCAGGCGCTAAAATAAGCGGCACAGGGATCTCTCTGAAAGGGTCGCCTGTGTACAAAGTGGCACTCCATATGAAGTGGACTGACACGGCTGATGGGCAAACAAAAGGCTTTGTTTGTTTGACCTTGCTGTTTACTGCTTATTAGATATGTGTGTAAACAGTCGACAGGCATGTTTGTGTCAATGCATGCGTGCACGGTGGATATGAGAGGTGGCGAGCTGAAAGTTTACCACGGTTCACAGGGAATGGCTTTGTGTGGTGATTGGCACCGACTGTTCAGATTGAAAATGACAGTGGCATCTTCTAATGAGGCTGTCTTTCTATTGGCTTTGTAATATGCAAGTGACAAACATACAAGTCTGTAGGTCGAAGGTCCAGGACCTCTGACCTGCAGACTATATGTTGGTCAGAGGTCTAGGATCTCCGTCTCCCTTCCATTTCCTTAATCCGTCACTGTAACGTTTTGCTAAAATCACCTGACGTTATATCGTTTTGAGCTCTAACAAGTGTATCGTTGGATAATAGCACTCCTCCACCCTTGTTTAATTCAATCTAAGCCCAACTCTTTCATCCTTTCAAACTAAAGGACTAAACAGAACAAAACGCCTCTAAAGTCCAGCTCTCGAGCGAGTCCTAACAAGTATAGTGATCCAAGTAAACGGGCACACATGTGCACCAGTGAAGCACCAGCATGTCTGGCCTAGCCACACCCTTTCTTCTCTCCCTGCTGTCCCGTTGGGTGGTGTCGAGTTTCCTCCCGCACTGAAAACCTGCCCGGTACCAAAGATGTCATTGGCTGTCTCAGCAAGTAACTGCAACTCCATCGCCACCTCATTGGCCACTGGGGATACCAGGATATTCATGATAGGCTGGGGATGCTTTGCACTGGTTTTCGGGTATTGATCACTGGCAGAGGGCTTGGCATGGTGCAAGGTGGTTCTCCACAGAGCAGATATTGATCAGAAAAGACTGACTGATACACAGGAGGTTTTGAGCTTGAAGTCGAGATTTATTTATTTATTTTGTTTTGGTTGCACTGATTTAAAAGATTTTTGTTTTTGACCTACAAACCTGGTTTAACTTAACTTCAACAGGTTTATCTTCATTCACATGTTAAGCCCACTTTAATCAAAAGCTTTTAGACTTCGACTGAATGACGTAGAGCGCTGTCAGTGTTTGATCCCAACATGCCGTATTCCAGTTACATATCAAGGATTTAAAGTTGGCAAAGATTGTATGTTTTCTTTTTTCCCTGATGTTATTTAGGGTGGTACTGTGTGTGTAATCTGCTGCGTTGTTGGCTTGTTGTGGAGAAATAATCTGATTGCACTGGTACCCAAGTTGTTGCATGTTGCGTTGCTGAATTGAGACTATTATCTTTTCTTTTTTTTTTTTTTTTGGCTCTTACATCTTTAGAGATCAAAACAGACCTGTACTCCTTCACTAGATTATTCTTTTAAAGCAGATTAAATAAACCATGAGGACTGTAGCACAAACAGATGTTGAGATGTTTGTCTCGGGCTTTTTGGTTTTACAGTTTCGGCATATGGCGGCAGTGTTTGTGTGTCAGTGTCTCGCCTGCTTTTATTTTTAATTTGATCTATTTTGCAGGTCTTATACCTTTGATTTAATTTAGTTTTTACATTTTTTTTAGAATGCCATATATTTTTTAGTAATATTGTATTGCCTGGGTTGATGGTTGAGTGTGTGTGAATTTTGGGTATTTTGTCATCTGTGTCCTCTCACAAAGTCAGACGACATCAGCACACCTCCAGCATTGCACTTCCAAGCAAAATGCAGGGTTACCGCTCACATGCACACATTCCAAGTGGAAACATATTGACACACACGTCAGCAAATCCTTTCTACATGTTGCAGAGGGATTGTTTTTGCGCTCTCCTCTCTGATGTTTGGACGGATTTATGTAAACAGTATATTTGGGAAGCTTCCTACACACATTTCTCCCACCGCAGCACATACTGATGTTCTGATGATCTCTGGCTTTAAAAATCGCAGACAGATTTTATGTTTTTTGGCGTTTTGCTAATGCTCTTATCCCGCGTGTACAACTACAGTATAAAACAGACTCAAATCCTCAGCGTGCCAAAATTACAAGCGACCGAAACCAGCATGAAGCGCAACTGTCGAGGCTGAGGCGTCCCGGCAGCTCGTGTAACAAGTGCTCGTCTGTCTCATTTGGATGAGAAAGGATAAAGTTTGGCTGCAGTTAAAGAATATTAAAAAGATGGGACCTTGACACATGATGATGTAATTTTACTATAAAAATGCAATTCTCTTTCTTGCTTCCTTTTCTTTCAGTGGACGTGAGCACAGCAGCACTGCCCACGCAGGTGCCCCCCACCGCCACAGCCATCCTTCCCATGGACCTGCGCGTAGTGGACCACCCTCACCACCACCACCAGCAGCAGCCCCCCTTCGGCCTGGTTCCCCCACCCCACCCCGCGCCGGCCACTTCCACAGCATCGTCCGAGACAGGCAGGGGGCCAGTCATTGGTAAGTGGCGGTGGTGTCCGGTTGTCTTGCGGTATCTCGGCTGCTTTCCACAGATGTGCGCTCTTTGCTCTGAGTGATCCGGTCTTCAAAACCTTTTTACAGGCCACCAGGAGCAGCACCTGCAGCAGGAACTGGTGGCTCTGAAACACAAGCAGCAGCTCCAGAGGCAGCTACTGATCGCAGAGTTTCAGAGGCAGCATGAACAGCTCTCACGACAACATGAAGCTCAGCTGCAGGAACATATCAAGGTGAGGCGGTGGGACGGGAGGGGGAAGGAAAGGTCCTCTCCTCTCCTCTCTCCTCCTCTCCTCTCCTCTCCTCTCCTCTCCTCTCCCCTCTGTTTGTGTGTCTGTATCTCACTCGTGGATGGGGGTGAGGCGGGAGTTCTTCCTTGGATACAGCGACTGCAGGGCTGTACTCAGCAGAAATGCATCTTGTGAAGGACAGGAGGAAACAAGTGCATGTGTACATTTAAGTGGGTATGGCGGTGTAATTTGATCGGGTGGCAGTATTTTGCTGCTTAGTTATCTCCATGGGAACCTTGGCCCCAGTAAACCGTGTGTGTGTGTGTGTGCGTGAATTTTGTATGCGACACACTGTGCTGAAAAGACTCACTCTGGTGTTGCTACGACCACAAAGCCAGCCAACAAGGATGATCAGTTTAGGCTGAAAATAACTCTGGTGCTTCTTGTCCAATCTGCTCAGTCTCCAGATTAGCATGGCTGTCATTTTTGCACTCAAACTTGTTGATGTCATACGTGTTAGAAAAAGCAAACTTTCAAACCATCTTTCCAGCTTTGCTATATGTAGGAACTTGACATTGTGCAGCATCCTTTACTCATCTGCTGTCTCTTCTTTTACGCTTCCTTCCTTCCTTCCATCCTTCAATCTCCTTGTGTCCTTCTCTTCACCAGCACCAACAGGATTTACTGGCGCTCAAGCACCAACAAGAGCTGTTGGAGCATCACAGGAAGATTGAGCAGCAACGTCATGAGCAGCAGCTGGAGAAGCAGCAGCGAGAACACAAACTCCAACAGCTCAAACACAAGGAGAGGGGACAAGAGAGTAAGTAGCACCCGCTAGAGAAGGATATTTGAAGGAAGTGGCCAACGTATTAACTGTGGTACTGCACAGTTGTTATAACGTGCCACAGAGTTAGAGCTGGACTGTAAATTATCAACATGTCATCAACGATACGCACGATTTTATGATAAGAAGTGAATGAGTGGCCAAAAGAGGAAGCAGTCCAGTGTGCATAAGATAAATTATACTGAATAAAATATGAACATTAAAGAAGTTTATTTGTATACCAGTGGCACAGAGGTGTCACGAACGAGCTCCGAATGAAGCTGTCACATTTGACTGAGCATCTATTCACTCTCGTGTACGCCACCAACATCTGTTGTACCTGTGCTGAAACACTGTGTCATATTATCACAGCAGGTGTCAGAGAGACTTGGCCCGTCCAACCCCTCTGTCACAGCACCTGCACTTACAGCACAGCAGTCAGAACAGCCTGACCTCACACATTCACCACAGGGAATATCAGACAGCCAACACAAGGTTAGAGGAGCAAGACACCGAGCAGGCCCGCAGGACCTCTGAATTAAAATTTCTTTTTTGTTTTCCGGTGTCATGTTGATTGAGAAACAAAAATTCCTGACTTGATCTGTTTGTTTCCTTTTAAAGAACACCTTTATTTCCGCTTTGGTTTTATTTCTGTTGCTTTGGCCATCATTGCATCTGTTATAATCATAAAACTGTGCTTAGCAAACTGTGTTCTGAGATTCAGAAACAGTCAGAGGATAGTCGGACTCACTGGATGTAAACTGTAGGTATGAAGCTGCTGTTTCCGTCACACATGTCACACAGCTTTCTCCTCCCCTTCTTTATCTGCATGTTACCATTTTCAAAATCTCCTTCTCCACTGGAAACGACAACAACAACAACCTCTGAGCAGCAACATACATGCTGAAAATAACACATTTTGACAAAATTTGGATCTTGTGGTAATGCAGCCCTGCTTGGTTCTTTCAGCAAATTTGTCATTTTAATGACAGTTCTCGCCTCCCTGCGTTCCACCAAAACCAATTTCCTCGGACCCTATTTTACTAAAATACCATTGCTGTATCCTGGGTTTAGCACCGTCCAAGATGATTATAATTGGTTAAAAAAAACAGCTAGAGCATCTCCCTCCCCACAGCAGAGTGATAATGAATAACAAGGTGCAGCCAGACCATTCTCCAGCGCTGACACAGTGCTGTGTCTGGCTATGCCAGATTAGACAGAGGAAGAAAGCCAAAACTGTGAATGTTTATAATGGACAGTCTGGTTAACAATTTCACAGTCCCCCATTGTTTCCACTTCCAAATTGATTTGTCTATCCTGGGACTTTGTGTAATATCATTCCCAGATCTCAGCAATTGACTTGGTGTGTAAATATTATCATAACTTATAGAACTGGTGGCCAGACTTCTGATGCCAAAATTATTCTTTAGTAATTGTCATTAGGACGTATTAGATTGTGTCTATACTGTCAGGAATCCTAATTATCCAGCTGACAAAGTGCTCCTGTTTAGACTGACCAATAACATCCACTTGATCATTAAATAGGCTTTGATACAACTGCACATTGTTCTGGCAGGAAAGTATGCATTTATTTCAACTGTGGCAAGCCAACTGCTTTTCTGCTTCTAGTTTTATACAACATAAGTAGAAGGTGGCACCAAAGACCTTCCTCGCCTTGTCATCACATCATTGTCTTGTTGTTCAGAGGCACTTCACACATAAAGGTGCCTTCCCTTGAACCGCCTTACTGAACATACATGTGATTAAAGCCATGTGTTTGTTTTTTTGGATTTCAACACAAATCTTTTGAATGTATTTACTGGTGGGGCCCACATTTAGAACCATTATTTTCTGCCATGTCTCAGCCACTCAGCACTGGGAAAAGTGAGCCTTCGGTTTGACGTCTATGGAAAGAGTATTGGGTTGTAAACAGAAGAAGCTTTGTTAACTACTGCACTAAATTGCATAGAAGGCAGTCTCATAAAAGCCAATTTGCTTCAGTGGCAAAAGCAGACATATTGGGATGCCGGCGCTTCCAGCTGCACAATGATTTAGAGAACATATATTAGCTGTTGTCTCTCTCTCACATGCTGGATTTACCACTTCCTCTCTCGAGCGCGACACATCACCTGTTATCACTCCCACTGTCACATTCTAATAAAAACACACCTCCACTGTTTTTCCTGTTTTCTCAAAACAGCTATTTTTTTCTTTTTTTTTTTTTTTTTAGCAACATTTATTGCTCACCTCACTCTCTCCCTTGTTTTTTTTTCCCTCCCTCTCACTCGTCGCCGTCTTCTCTCCCTGGACAATTTGTTTGCAGCTGTGAAATGAGGGTGGTAATTGAGGAGAGACCAGGAGCTGAGTGAAAGTCCTGATGTGCGTCTTCGCGGCTGTCGTCTCTGTAGAATTTCAATGAAACTCTAATGCAAGACGGTGCTCCTTTAGAAACCCATTATCTGTCAAAGTATGGATACATATTGTTATAATCTTCATGTTAGTGTCACCGATTGAACCGTGGGTGTAATATAGTAGAAGCTCTGAGGCACAAACTTCTCCAGGAGGGCAATACTAAAAAAAAAAAGTGTTTTCATGTCGGGCAAAGGGGATATGTGTGATTGCATGTGTATATAGTAGAATTGTCTGGATAAATATACTTAGCTTTGCTTGCTGTCCTCCTGGGTCTCTGTGTTGCTGTGTAGGTGCAGTCGCCAGTACTGAGGTAAAGATGCGACTTCAGGAGTTTGTCCTGAACAAGAAGAAAGCCTTGGCTCAGCGAAACCTAAACCACTGTCTGCCCAGTGACCCGCGCTACTGGTATGGGTGAGTGTCACCGCCCACCACCACACAACCACCTACGGCTTCAAGTGCAGTGTGCCACTAGAGACGCTCTTTATATAAAGTCTAAATTCAAATTTGTTTCGGTATAAAATCCAATTTGACATGAAATAATTTTAAAGATTGAAGATTAGCTTTAAAGTTTTTAAATTTGATTCATTGTGCGGACTGTATTAGATACTTTGACTATACATTGGGTCGACAGCTTCTTGGCCTGGTCGATTATCAGATCAGATTCAGCATTTGTCTAATTATTAATATTGCTTTTTTGTTGGTTTGTGTTTGGTTTTTTTTGCTGATTAACCATAAATTAATGTGTGGGTCTTTTGTGGACCTCTTGGTTATACAATATCAGTAACAGCCCATCACACCGAGGGATAAATGTTGAAAAATTCTTTTAAATAAAGCTATCTGGAACATAGAGAAACAAATGCATGTTAACAAAGTTTGCAAATGTATGTGGTCTGCACTTGTATATAGCACCTTCTTCTACCTTAGTGGAACCCAAAGCGCTTTACAATGTGTTTCTCATTCACCCATCAGTTCTTAATATCTGTTATCAATTTCTAATAACCAGTATTGTATTGGTATTCTCAACATGAAATCATAAGCGTGGCTTTATGAAATTGGATAAGAAATTATTTTTCTTTTTATATCTATGTCTCTACTGTAATCTTAAAGGAGAACCTCTGTTTTCTTTCGGTTTCATACTTTGTTGTCAGTAATCACCTATAAATGTTGTGTTTTCCACTTTTAAGAAAATAAATAATTCTACAGCACTACCTATAGCAAATATCCTTAGAGTTAAGATATTAGGTGAATTGTTTTTTATGCATTTAGAAGCCTTTGAGTTGCTGCCTTTTTTTTATTTTATTTTTTTTAACCAAACAACAAAGTTGCCACACTATGAAAAATATCAAACGTAAAAGCCAGTGATGAGCGACATAAAAGTCTTCCCATTGATTTGCAAACACGGCAAACCCAGCGGTGTTATGAACCCCTGTAGTGTGGGCGTCTGTCATTGATGTGCTTTTGTGTCCACATCAAGTTTCCAACATTAGCCCCTCTGAATTAAGCTACAGAGAAAATGTTGAAGCAACAAGGCTTTTTTTTTTTTCTTCTTCTTCTGTCAGCGTTTGTTGTCGCTGATTGACAGCTGGCTCTCTTTGAGGTGTGTTCGTGTGTGCGTATGCTTGAAGTGGGCAGAGAGAAAAGACAATTGCACCTCTCCTGTGCTTTAAATATTTGAAGAGGCTTTAAGCAGTCAAACATTTCTGCCAAGGCAGGAGATGATGGAACAATCTCAGGACTGTGTAGCTCTCCTCCACTGTTCTCACCGTTCCTTCGGTCTGCTCCCTGTTTGCTCTACCTGTTGGAATTCTCCTCAGTTCTTCCAGACAATGTATTCTCTCTTCGTGTCTCACTCCTTCTCCAGCCCTGCTTCTACATTTTCAACCAACCTTCAGATTGGAAAGTAGTTCTCAGTCTTTTTGCTGTCTTCATGTGAAAGAAGACAAAGGATGTTCTCAGCCTTTCAGGATTAGTCCCTTCTCTCTGTTCTTTGCCTCTTTCTCCATTCCACCCACATTGTTGCCCACACTGTGCTGCGTTGACCTTGGACAGCAAGATAGAGGCTGTCTTTTTCACTTCCGCTTATGTGTGGGTGTGTGTGTGCGTTTGGATGCTCAGGTATAGTCGCTGTAGAGTGAGCTTGGCAAGTATGTAGTGACAGATTTCACTTTGAAATAGTTACTAAAGTCATATTTCATGTTATAATTCATTTACTTTTTTTTGTTCCTTGGTAGAAAAACCCAGCACAGCTCCTTGGACCAGAGCTCTCCTCCCCAAACAGCATTGTCAGCATACAACCATCCAGTGCTGGGAACGTACGACTCAAAAGACGACTTCCCGCTCCGCAAAACAGGTACAGAACGAAAGGCTCCGCTGACGTATTGTTCATTTCTGACAACCACATTCCTCCACGTCCTTGCCTGCTGAGAATGAGCCACTAATCTTCCCTTTTCCTGCTTTAGCAACTGAAAGTAAAATTGGCTTATTAGGTTTCATAGCCAGGAACCAGGAGTCAGTCGCTGCAGGATTAATAGAAGCTCTGAAATGCTCTGTGAAAAAGATGTCAAGTTATTTCATGGAGTCTTTGGATTCGTTCTCATGTAGATGATGGTGAATGGGAGATAATGAATTGGAAAATGAGAAACAGTGGCATAGGTGTAGAGGAATATTTGCTTTCCTGCTGAGGGTTTGTGGTTAATATGAAGCTACAGTCATCAGTAGATTAGCTTAGCTTAGCATAAAGACTAGAAACCCTGTTGAGAGGTGTTAAAGTTCGTTTACCAGCATGCCGTATTTAGTTTAATCTGGAAAAACCAACATGTGGAAATGACAACAACAAGGTAGTCGATTCCATCCTCAAAATGATCCTAAACAAGCTTCTTTTCTCGGCTTCATGGTTTTACAGTTAATGAAAGTGGAAATAGGATGGGAGCCTGACATTACTTTATCATTCATGGTCAGCCTTTTACTTCATCATCAGGTGTAGAAAATTTCATAATGAATCAGATTTTTCTTTTAAAAAAAAAAAAGAAAGAAAAAAAGCCTTCTGGCTATTGCTTGTTGAGACTCATTCACGCAGATATTGACTAACACATTCAGTCACACTTCTTCACGGACGTCATAGATCATTCTGTTCAACAAAACAGCTCTCGACTACCTTTGTGAAGTGTCCTAGTAGGCATGTAAAAACCACAGTTCCTGCCTTTTTGGATTTATCAGGCTCTGTCCATCTGCACATATTATGTACGGCCAAGCTGTGATTATTCACTTAGCGTCAGCAGCTGCTTTGGCGGTATCACTGCCTGCTTTCACAACTGGAGGCCAAACTCTGGGTACTCTGCACTCTTGCCCACCTGCTGTGAGCTGGAGGGAGGAAAGATTTTTCCTGGCACTCAAACTCAGACTGCGAGTTTTAACTTTCAGGGACACTCAGGGATTTTTTTTTTCTCTGAGAAACTGTCACAGTTTACAGAATTCACACAGTTCTTACTGACACAAGGCCCAACACAAAGTATTTTACATAATGCACATGTAAAGAAAGTGATGTGTCACTGGGAGGAAAGGAGTTTGAGAAGTGAAGGCACTGCACTTTATCTTTGTGTCAGTTGTGAGCAGAGGCAGAGAGGGAATACTGACTGCACACACACACACACACACACACACAGCTGTTGAGGAACTGTTGTGTCAATAGCGAGCAGACATAGATCAGATTAGACTGGCTGACAGAGATATGAACTGTGTTTAAGAGGAAGTGAGCGCCAGTGACAGTGGACACCACAGTTGTGCGCTCCCTCTGACGTCCGCAGCTGTCACGCGTGACGTTTTTGCCCCGTTTCGGACACACATTGATGTAAATCCTACGTGTACGTTAAAGATTCTGTTTCTGTCTGGTGAGTCCAGGCGAACAATATGGTACTAAACGGATTCATTGTCCGAGACTGAGGGGATTTGCGATAATGGCTCTCAGAAAACAGAGGGCCATTTTGATTTGCTGCGGCAGGAAGTCTGTCAGGCCTTCATGACAGAGGCTGACTTGTCATGCTGACCCCCTTTCTCCTTCACTCTTTCACACACTGTCACACACAGACATTCCCATTCCACACTGGCCACTGAACAACAACCATGCGAGATATGTGCATACAGTGTAGCACTGTCACGTTTCTGTGTTTCATCCAGTTTGAAGGTGGACAGTTAGGGTTTCTCAGCATCTTAGAGACTAAAGTCAGGCCCTCTTCTAGTGTTTGTGATGTTAATGGAATTTAAACGGGGTGTGCTGGTGCGCACATGGCTTGTTCTGGTAAGTGGCAGTTAAATATCTGCAATGTAAAAATCACCACATCCTTTTCCACCCACCTTACTCATATACCGCTCGGTTGTTACAACAATCAGTAATAGACGTCACTGATTTTAACAGCCTCATGTCACCTCCATGAAAAGGCCTCATTAGTTGTAACTATCAGAAGGAAACACTCAGCCTGCTCTTTGGTGGCCTGCGCTCTTATTTATTTTATATGCCCACAGCAGAGGTGGTTAGATAGTTTGATGTTAAATTTGTGAACAAGTGTCTTTCGGAAACTGTAAGAATTGATGGCTTTTAATCTGACGCCTTGTTTATACAGCAGTTTTGGCTGCCGTGAGATTTTTCAAATTCGGTTTATTTGCTTTCATGTCTTTCGAAAAATACGCAAGTGAGACAAATCTGTTTATCCATATGTCTGCCTCTCTGTTTATGTCCTTCTAATCTATTTATCTAATGTATCATCCACATATGATGTTTCTCGGAAGCCCTGTTGATGAGTTTCAGCAAACTACCCTATTGATTTCCATAAATCTCCCTCCCTCTTGCGTTTTCTTGGCAGGCCAGCGCAGCTTTCCCCCGGCATGTCTCTCGCAGCTCGGGACTCCTATCTGTCAAAACAGATGAGCGGCTGATCGATATGTTTTGTATCTGAGAATCAGTTTCCTTGTCAACTCCCTATTGAAATATTAAGCACCACTTATACGGACGTTTAATCTAGATTTTGTACAGTTTTAATGGCCATCTTGGAAGTATGAGAGCGGATTAGGGAGAGAACTGCGACGGCTTTTGTCTTGAGCAGCTTTGTGTGTAAAGAGATGCAAAGCACACAAACAGAAACACAAAAGCCACCATGTCTGTGATGAGATATGTAATCTGAAGCCACCTTTCATCACAATGTTTTGACCATATAATGCATAAAGTGTACCTTGGATTCAGGTGTGTGGTAAATCACTCGTGGCTTATTCATACGTGTATCATGGCAGGACTGTGGTTTGCTAAAGCCCAACTAATTTTCTCCCTCAGAAATACATTTCTGAATTCTGTTATGGCACTTATAAAACCACGCAGGAAAACATGATGCGATCTGACAGTCTGGCAAGAGAGGACGTAAAGTTTGTTTTGGAAATAATGCATTTTTAATAAACAACATAACCTACGACGCGTAACTGCATGAGTCTGCACGTCCGCTTTCGCCAGTCGGTGCTTACGGTCTGCTCATAAAATCTCAATGATCACGGGGAGGGGAAAATAATTCCAGAGAAAAGGGAGAAGCAAGGATTTAGAGGAAGTGAGAGAAAGGAGGGGATGGACTGAGGTGAAGGAGAGAGAGAGAGAGAGAGGGCTGCAGTGAAATGCCAGCATCAGCAGTAAAACCAGTCTGGGCCCTCTGCAGCGAGTGTGTTCGCACGTGAGCTCACTGGTGTGCTTTTGCCCAGTCGGCAGTAACACCCTTCAAAGTCACTGTGTCCTGAGGTGAACACCCCCATCGCGACCGGTGCCCAGCAAACACACACATGCATACTTCACTCTCCTTCTCTGTCTCCTTCGCTGGCCTCCTCCCAGCTCGTCTCTCTCTCTCTCTCTCTCTCTCCGTCTACTTCTTTTATCCGTCCATTCCTCAGGACGCACGAGCAAAACCTTGAACAACCTCCTCTTCTTCCGTTGTACTATCTGTGTGGGCCTTGTTTGTCCTTTCCCTACATTATCTACAGTTTCTATCGCCTTTGCCGCCCACTGTTGGTAGGTCTTCACCGTAGACTAATAAAGTTTCCTGTGACACCTACTGATATAAAACAACACAAAGGAGAGAGAAGAAGAAGATACTCGTGTCCACTTTTGGTGGATCCAGCACCGTGGCTCATATTACATCAGAACACCACCCAGAACAATAATAAACATAGCACAAGCCAAATATTACCAAAATCAAAAGCTTATCATTGAGGGATGTTCAAAGCCCAGTCAGAATCAATTAGGCTAACAAGTTATGTCGAATGCTTACAAGGGTGAGGCTTTCTCTGTCCTTATTCTACCTCAGAATCTGTTTCTGGTTTGAACGTGGCTGAAATACTCCCAATATTACAATTAGCCATTGTGTAACATAGAGTAGTTTTACAGTGTTGAGCTGCCGTGAATGGGGAGGGGTGGGTGGAGACAAAGGCAGGGACTTCAGAGCTCTCCTAATTCTAGAGAAAGCAATGATGTTGTTACACGTAAGCCATTTAAGATGTGAAGGGATTGTTTTTCCATGGAAGGAAAAAAAAAAAGGTCTAAACATGTAACTTTGATTCCCCTGAATGAGATTAAATCTGCAACCAAAAATATCGAACTTCACTTCACCGTGACTAAAACAAGCATTCACGGCCTATGCTCCTTGTCTCCTTGTCTTCTTGTCTCCTTGTCTCCTTGTCTTCTTTCTCCCGCTGTCTCCTCCAGTTCAACTAATGCACAGCATTTTATCCGGACCCAGCCCATCTCTCTTAACAAAGACTTTGGAAGAGTGCCCTCCTCTTAGAAGAAGCTCTTTTTTAAATAATTGAGTTTTATCATCAGCATTGTTCCCCTTAAAATTGAGAGTGCATTTGAAAAAGTACTTAGACATTATAGATTCACAGGAGGTCATCTCATCCCCACCGGCCAGAAGGTATAATGAGAACTTGTACCTCTTTGAAGTACATTAAAACTTCATCCTACCTTGATTAGCGTTCCAGGGGCCAGAGGGGCTTTAATGAGCCAGAATAGGTCTTCTAATAAGGAATTAATCACGACTGTACACAAAGAATCAATTGCTTCCACTTGGCTGTACCGAAAAGCCCTATCTCTCTCCCTCTCTGAGGCTAATGAATGTAGCCTGGTCTGTTTGATACAAGGTCGTCGGACGAGCGATGGGTCAACCACTGGTCAACCGTCCAGCTTCGACTAATTGAACGGAAGGAAGCTGGTGGAGGAGGGAATGAAACTGCATGTGTTTAGTATAGTCTGGCAGCGAGACACCAAGATTGTCCAGAAAGGGCCAGGCCCTGTCGCTGACATGATTCCCGGAATATACTGTACGCTGGCCTCGCCTCCTTCCTGCATGCACGTAGCACCTGCCAATACTGCTCCACAGCACACAGAAAAATCCAGAACAGGAGCATCTGTTTGCAGGCATAGCCCCAAGAAATATAGAGCTGGGCACACACATGCCATATGCATACAAACACACATGAAGACAGACACTGGCAGTTTTTTTTTTTTTGTAATTGGAAGTGTCTGGAAACATGCAGTGTTCATTAGCAGAGCGTGGAGGCAGCATCATTAAGCATGGGGTCAAGAAAGCTGCCAGTGGGCTGTTTCCCCCGTTGTTGCAGTGCTTCCCACTGTCACATGATGATGGCTAACCTCAGCTCCCGAATCTGTCGGCCAGCGCATACAGCGTGGCCTATAGGGACAAGCTCATTAGCACCGCTACATGCCAACAAACAAGCTCCCACTTGTGCGACCCAGCAATCTACCACCAATCCGAGTGCCAGAGCAACAGTTTAGAGAGAGTCTGTAATTTTTAATGCATGTGTGGGGCTAATTCGGGCTGCAGCACATTAATATTTTTAGAATTTGTTGGAAATGAAACACTCAACCTTGGCAAAGCTTAGCTGTATCCCCTTAGTTATCTGCTACACATGGGTCACATGGAGTGGAACAAGCAAAAGCAGATACTGACAACAGATTTTTCAGTTTTCATGGAAGAAAGTCTGAATTACTTCCAGGTGTTGTCTCAGAATAGACTTCTGTCCCTATTTGTGTCTTGTCAGCCTCTGAGCCCAACCTCAAGCTTCGTTCTCGGCTAAAGCAGAAGGTGACCGAGCGCCGCAGTAGCCCTCTGCTCCGCAGGAAAGATGGACCCATCACTACTGCCAAGAAGCGGTCGCTAGATGTGGCTGGTGAGTTCTCCGTCACTGGAATGTATCTGTTGTTTTAAGGTGGTGTCATGATTCGCATGACAATGATCACATGATGATAAAAATAGCAAAAAAAAAGCTGTTCCATCTGGAGCTTAAGTGATTGGAATTTGCCGAGCATCATAATATCTGTTTCAAATTGTGTCGTGCTGGAATAATTATCTTAATAATTAGTTTTAATTGGGTTGTGGATATGGATGTCACAGTCACATTTCAGTGCAGAAAGCCTAATGATCTAAGTCAGCTGTTAGATACATGTTAGTGCGTTGTGGGGGGAAGAAAATAAAAAATCTAATTTCTGTGTTGTGTGTATTCCAGAGTCCGCATGCAACAGTGCACCAGGCTCAGGTCCCAGCTCTCCCAACAACAGCTCCAGTAACATCCCCAGTGAGAATGGGGTCACAATCTCTAGCAGCCCAGGAGAGGTAAACAACATGACTGCATATACACGTGTGTCTGTCGGTGTTTGTGTCTATGAGCCACACAGGTGAGACTCCAGGAGGAGATTTGCAATGTCAGTTTCTTTTAATGGAGGTCTAAATCTCTACGTGTGCGAATTTGAGAGAGACAAATTGAGAAAGTGATGTACAGTACTATAAACTGTGTCTCTTTTTGTGTCTTTACTGTCTAAGTATTTAGTGTAATGGTAATGTGGATGTGTGTGTCCAGGCCTCCCTGCTTCAGAGGTTGGCAGCAAGGGAAGGTTCAGTCAGCCAGCTCTCTCTCTACACCTCACCGTCTCTGCCGAACATCACCCTGGGACTGCCGGCCACAGGTCCTGCAAGCACTGTGAGTACATTTAATATACAAGATTATGCAATGATA